TGATTTTTACTAGGGATTGTACAACATCACTGAAATAATCAAGATTTTTTTTTACAGATTACCTGATTTAAATTCAGGGAATTTGTAAAAAAAAAAGTCTTTTTGGTTAAATATTTCTTGAAAAAAAGCTTACAGAAGTTACAATCATCAAGTATGAGATTATTTCATCCTTTTATATTAATACTAAGTGAGCGGTTTCCACTAAACAACTGGCATACTGTAGAGAAATGACTCAAGCACAGATGTCTTTAAATCATGCACATAAAAGTTACTTCAAATAACCGAGGGAAAATTAAAATGTAATATAAATGGAACCGGGAAAAATATGAGGACATCGTGGAATTTATTGCTAAAGAACCATATAAAGAAGACAAATGTAGACACATGTACATGTACGGTCATAGAACCTGTCGGTACCTATATTTTGGCATTACACAAGGTCATGTTTTTCTCTGACTATTAATCACGTCTTAACACTAAATCCATTGGATGTTGTATGTGTACCGATTGATATTTAGTCTTAAATACATTATATTTTTTTATGAGTTGTTATTGGCTTTGTACTAGGTGTCAGTAACTGCGAGTACTCTCAGATATTTACTTTGTCTCTTTGTTGTGTTTAGGGATGTATTAATACCCTGCAACGTCAGGTCTGTGTTTTTGTTAGATGTTCTTCTGCTTTGTATCCATCTGATGAGTTAAGCCCTTTTCAACTGATTTTTATAGTCTGTTCTTATGTTGTACGGTTAAACCACTGTCCCTGGTTAGGAGAGGGTTGGCGCCTTTTTACATGTTTAACCCTGCCAATTTATATATGTGCCTGTTCCAAGTCAGGAGCCTGTGAAGTAGTTGTCGTTGGTTCATGTCTGTCATATTTGTTTTTTGTAAATATTTGTATTATTAATTAAGCCATTAGTTTTCTCAATTGACTTGTTTCATATTTTTCATGTCGGGCCTTTTATAGATGACTATACGGTATGTTTTTTTTCTCATTGTTGAAGGCCGTACGGTTGCCTATAATTGCTAACATTCACTTCATTAAAACTTTGGTGGATACTTGTCTCAATCATCAAATCATTAGAGAAACAGATTCCACCACTATAACTCGTGTATTACGATATATCTCCACTCTCAACAGTTATATTTTAATTATTTAAAAAGCTCGGTAAGCCTCGCGCTTTAAATATCAAAATTTAACTGTCTCGAGTGGAGAAATATCGTAACACACCTGTTGCAGTGGTGGAATCTATATATCTATGTTATTTAGGTGTGGACGGCTAAAGTTGCAGCTGTAAGTTCTGATAAGACGGAATATACCTTAACAAACAAAGATTACGACCAAGATATACGCGGAGGTAGTGAATTGCAAATTGATTTTAATGGTCACATGTCAGGGGATACGGCTCCTACAGCAACATTAAGTGGTGGCGGAGGTTCATCTCAAACATCAGCACCCTCAGGAGGTGGTGGGTCAGCTACACAGGCTCCAGCTACGCAGGCTCCAGTAACATCTGCACCACAGACAGGTAATAGTTAACGGTCAGGTGTCGGAAATTCAGTGATGAATTTTAAACAATATATCTTTATTTGAATGTACAGTTAACTATTACCTGAAATTAATAAACTTCCTTCGGACATTTATCTTATTTTTTCTGATTTACTTTCCACATTTGAACATGACACACAATAAATGTGTCATCAATGATCGAGATTAACCACAATGTTCTACAATGAGGAGACAAACCATATCCCACTTGCCCAAGTGTTGACAAGTTATTGAAAATTAACAACTATTTTAAACTCAAACACTGAAAATAATTTTAATTTCAGGAGGTTCTTCTAACCTTAACGCTCACCCTAACACAAAGTTTGATTATGCCAAGGCCTTAAAGCTTTCAATTTTGTTTTTTGACGCCCAAAGATCTGGACGATTACCAAGCAACAACCCAATTCCATGGCGTAGTGACTCAGCTGTTAATGATAATGGAGACGGTCATGATCTCTCTGGAGGGTGGTATGACGGTAGGTATACAGCCTCTTTGAGGATGGTATGACGGTAGGTTTCATAACCTCCCTAGATGGTGGTATGACGGTAGGTTTCATAACTTCTCCTGAGGATTGGATGACGGTAGGTTTCATAACCTCTCCGGAGGGTGGTATGACGGTAGGTTTCATAACTTCTCCTGAGGATGGGATGACGGTAGGTTGTATAACCTCTCTGGAGGGTGGTATGACGGTAGGTTTCATAACCTCTCTGGAGGGTGGTATGACTGTAGGTTTCATAACCTCTCCTGAGGATGGTGTGACGGTAGGTTTCATAACCTCTCTGGAGGATGGTTTGACGGTAGGTTTCATAACCTCTCTGGAGGATGGTTTGACGGTAGGTTTCATAACCTCTCTGGAGGATGGTTTGACGGTAGGTTTCATAACTTCTTCTGAGGATGGTATGACGGTAGATTTCATAATCTCTCCTGAGGATGGTATGGCGGTAGGTTTCATAAATGAAATTATAAGAACAATAGGGAGTATCATGAATTTAACTATAATAAGTTAAAACCTTGTTGTCAATTACTACGTCTGCACCGTTTCCTATAAGACAATACTGCATTGTGTCTGCAGCCTATAATTACCCACTTTGTGTAAGATAGTTTGCTAGTTTAATTACACATGACATGGTTTACTTAAATGTTATCACAAACACGCCGGGTATAGTATGTTATAAATCATAAATTTGATATTGAAGAAACACATGTCGTGCTGCGCACGGGAAATTTACACATAATTTGTATTTACTATTGTTTTCTGTAATTACCTATAAGTTATATTTTTGTGATCAAGTTATTGCACAGTCAAATTTTATTCTGATTAGATTTAAGAAGATAGATAAACTCTGGGGTTGTCTTTGATGTATGATGTTTTATTTTCTTGAACGACAGCAGTGGATTAGCCAACTTCCTGACAAATAGTCCAGAAAACAAGGCGTGTAAGTGTTAATACAAATGAAAAATTGGCTAAACCCAACCATTTTTGAAACATAGATTGTTCTTTGTTGTTTCTTTTTGTCTGTCGTCTCAGAGGAATCAGGTGTATATGGTAGATATGACGTAATGTACTTATCTATATTTTTAGCAATTACTACATGGTTTCCTTTTTATGCATTATTTTAACTCGGACCAAAGCCATGTCGAACCAAGACAACCTCGGACCAATTTAAAGACAACTTGGAACAATAAGTAAAAAGACACAACAAATATGCAATACAAATATAAAACAGTTATGATAAATGGTCTGAATTGTCTTTCAAACCGGCGCGAGCTGACTTTTAAACTGGTCTGAGTTGTCTTTAAAAGTGGTCCGAGTGGTCTTTTCAAACTGACCTGTCTTTAAAAATGATTCGAGTTGTCTTTAATATATATTCCTAGTTGTCTTTGATCGAATTGTCGCTGGTCTGAGCTGACGTGATTCCCAATTATATATACTGGGGTGTCCTGATTTTGACATCAACTACATGTACCATCGTTTTGAAGGCTATAAAAGCTCATATCCTCTGTCAAGGTAATTAATAAATTGCATAATTTTTATTGATATTTCCCCTTAGTATTATATGTTCACACACGTTTCTTACAGCTGGAGACCATGTAAAATTTAACCTACCTCAAGCTACAGCTACGCATGTTCTAGCATGGGGATTAGAGAAATTCAAGGACGCATATCAAGCTTCAGGACAACTCGATATGATGTATGATATGTTGAGAACACCACTTGATTATTTTCTTAAATGCTGGCAACCTGACAGACAAGTTTATTGGGTCCAGGTTTGTTTACATCTTTATTTTCCGACGACTTCAGCTCTTAATCAATTATAAACTTTAGATTGCTGTCTCATTTGCGGTAAGCTGAAATCTCTAACCACCCATATATATATATAAGGCATGGGATATTTACACAAATTTGCAAATGAGTTAACATATTATACAAAATAAACAGAAATGTGAATAAAATCAGCTGAAAAAAGATGAAACCGTACTCTGGTTCTAACATAAATTAAAACATGAGAGGTTCCAATTCTTATTATTTGTGTAAACGATACATTATGTGCAAGGTTTTCAGTATGCATAATGCGTACTTTAAAGCAGTGACGACAAGATTTTTTGGTTTTTGAGGCGTAAGATTTTCTTATGTGAAACAAACGTAGATTCTTATAACCGATGATAATTGGTACAAAGTTGTAACATGTATTCCACCAGATCAGTCTCAAACGATTTGATCAAAACTTTCACGACAAAATCACTGCTTTGACATCAGCTTACTTTTTAATGGTATAATAGAAAAGATGGGACATAGTGCACGCAGCCTGAAGAAAGGAACAGCGCTTTAATCGGGATGTTCCTAAACTAAAAATAACACACGTACCAGCCCTGGAGCGAAAGTTCACGCTTCACTTAACACATTTTGTTCCGTACTAGCAGAAGGAAATTTCTTGGTTAAAAGACATTTCTATGGAGAGAGGCACGTGAAGCAATTCCAAAGGCTATTCACCATGCCATAATTTATGATTGTAAAAATTAGTATACACACATCCTTCATGATTTCATGACACTTCATGTGCTTTTTATACTGTTTCATTTGTTCATTTTACCCGAGAAAGGCGTAATACAGTATACATCTGTCGATCAACGACAGGAATGTTTTAAAATGAAAATACCCCCCCCCCCTCCCCCCATTTGTACAGTTTTAGTCATTTTGCTTGTCCTATAAACTTTGTCTAAAAAAAGTTGTTTGAGTCAATTTTTAATCCTGACAACATGGGCAATTCACTAAAAAGTAAATTGATTAATATTAGAAAAGAAAAAAGCAATACATACAAAAATTTATACATATTGATTCAATTGTAGATTAGCTTTCCAATTTCTGCGAAACTTCCATTTGATAGACAAATTGTTAAATAAAAAAAAAGGGGAAACAGAAATTTTAAGTCAAATGAATCAAAATACTGGTAAAATAAAATAACATTCCATGGCAAAGGCATAACCTGTAAATCTAAAAAGGTAGGTGTCGAAATTTGAAATTAAATAAAATTAAACGTGTATTTTAATTCATTATATATAGATAGCAAAATGTAAATGAATACACGGGAGAATTCCAGTAACGACTTTAAATACTCAAAATTGTGTTTTACAGGTTGGTAACGGAGAGATTGATCACGGTTATTGGGGTCGACCTGAAGACATGCACATGTCACGACCTGCCTATAAAGTAACTGCAGGATCTCCGGGCAGTGATGTAGCAGGAAATACCGCTGCTGCATTGGTAGTTGGGTCACTTGTATATAAGGATAAAGGTAGTATGATGGCATGATGTCAAATTTAGTTTTCTGGAGTAAATAGTCGCTATGAAAGTTAAAAACACACAGCCAAAAAGAAAAAAAAATCAAGAGAAGGATTAAACAGAAGGTCACCTTTGCCTGAATCCCTTATTTTACAAATGACATGTTATGATTATGCAACAGCATGAATAAAATAATGCATACTATAAATAGCAGGTTTTTTTTCTAAAATGTGACCTTTATTTCATTATTCGTATTATTGTGTTAAGATTTAAAAAGGATTTGTCAAACGGTCATTCATTATATACTGGAAACTAAAACAATCTGAATGTTACGGCAACTATGAGGAATAACTCTTGAACGGTAAGTTTCAAACAATCAAAATCGAACTTGATCTGTATATTTTATGGTCCATGACATTGTTGTAAAATTGAAAAAAGAATTGTTAATGCGGTTCTGCGGTTCTTTAATTATTATCATAAAACCAAAGGTGCGACGGACGGATAGACGGGGGGACGAACGAACACACGAACGGATAGACACGTGCATCCTTATTTTACGGTTTTATGGTAACAGTAATTAATAAGGTTAATCTGAACATTTTTTTCAGATGCATCATACAGTACAAAATTACTCGCAGCAGCAAAATCTCTATATGCATTTGCAAAGGCACATCCTGGTATATATTCAAACAGCGTTCCGGAAGCCAAAAACTTTTATGGGTAAGCATATATCAAACCATATTAGAGACAAAATATTAAAATACAATCGAGTATCGATAGGCGTTCACGATTACACATTTTTAACTTTTATTATGATTTTCGTTCATAAATGTTAACTTATTGTGTATTGAAAACAGCATCAAGTACACATTTTGCAACTTTGTTATCAATAACACAAAATTATCTGAAATTTATTTGTTATAAATGTTCATGAACTGATGTCGTAAGATTTGTTTAATTTTTCTATCATGAGATCATCTGGATGGGAAGATGAAATGTGTGAAGCTGCAGGGGCAATGTATAAAGTGACAAAAGACCAGCAATATTTGAACGATGCCAAAGGATACAACAAAGGCGGTGCAGGATGGGCATATTCTTGGGATGCAAAGAATGCTGGTTGTCAGGTATCTTGCAAAATTACCAAAACAAAGACTTATTTCAATCACAGCCCTTTGACTCTCGAATAAAAAACTTAAAAAGTTCATGTAAAGTAGTAAGTTGAAGAGCATTTTGGACCCGAATTTCCGATAGGTTTTGCCAAATACAGCTAAGATAATCCATTCTTGGAGAAGATAATCCTTAGTATTTCGAAAAAGTATAATTGTTATTTTTCGTAACTTCTGATGTATCTGTCACCTTTAGATATCAAACAGGGAGAAGAAGAGATACAGATAAGGACATAATTTGAATGATGTATAATAATTGTTAAAATAAATTTTAAATTTAATATAACATCCCCGTCAAGTGTGATATGCAAATATAGTTCATGTATTACACAACTTTCATAAAAATATTTAGAATATGTTTTAGCTCATTTGGTTATTTTACTCCCGTTAGCCCGAGTTAGTCCGAGTGCGCAATGTTAACAATGATGCAAGCATAGCATAAAATTGAGACTTGAAATGGGGAATGTGTCACAGAGACAACAACCCGACCAAAGAGCAGAAACAGCCCAATGCCAACAATGGGTCTTCAACTCATTTTCAGGGAATCGTTTGTTCTTATGATGTTTATCGAACACTAATTGATCAGAATTGTAAATAGTTAAATATTTGCGTAGGTAGTGGCAGAAAATCATTCGGATAGTAGTACAAAGATTTACTGAGGTATAGTTTTCAGTTTAGTAAATACTTTAACTTTATTGAATTTTCAGTTATTACTTTGGGAAGCGACCCACGAAGGAAAATACAAAGAGAAAGTAGAAGAATTTGTAAATAGCTATGATTATGGAGGAAGTGTTCCGATTACACCATGCGGATTATCATGGAGAGATAAATGGGGATCAAATGGTTACGCTGGTACGTATTTGTTATTTCACACCTACTGAAAAAAAGGCATTGTGTAGACTTAATTTTTAAACAAAGGTATATAGATTATGGATAAGACCTTATCAAGATTTAGAAGATACCAAGGGGTCCATTAAAAATCCATAAGTCAAATAAAAACAAGACAACACCAGGACAAAAAAAAAACAACGAAAAGACTAAAACTAACTATTAAGTCAGAGAAAAAGATTGAGCAAAACCCACTCCACCAGAAACCGGTTGGAAACTCAGTTGCCACGAAAGGGTAAATAATGGAGGGTGTGGATGGGGTTTACAAAATAGAGAAAAATGGGAAAAATATGCAGAATAAAGGGCAAACAATATAAAGAATATAGAATATAGGGACAAGAAAAAATAGAGAATAGAGAATATGATGGGATGCTAAAATATAAAGAATAAAGATTAACAGGCAAAATTTATAGAGAGTAGAGAAAATGGTCAAAAAAATTAAAGAATACAGAAAAGAAGGACCCCCATCCAAACCCTCAAAATTCCTGCTTGATTGTGTGTTCCTCATTGAAAAAAAACCAAAACACGGTGATAAGTCACATCAGTTATGTTACAATTGAGGAAAAAAGGACAGCCTTGTGGCTATTAAAAGTTAAACATATCTGTGGTCATCTATGACAGATATTCAAAAACGGTCAAACAGATCCTAATGGCGTTATCAAACTTTCGAAGGGATTTCTATTTGGAATCAGAGATAGACCTGAATCAGTCTTTATATTTCTTTTTGTCAGAATACTTTGTTTGAATTTGCATTCAAGGCAGGTCCAGCTGCCATATTACTATATGCCTTCACTACTATCCAAATTAACCTTTAATTCGTGATAATTATGCATAGTATACCTTACACAATGTTGCGTATTAAACCTGCGTTGATATTTTACTTGAATAAAATGTATCTGCATCACGATATCCTTTTATATTTTGTAAACTAGTATGGTTGTTTTATAGCTGGTGCATCGACGATAGCGTTATTAGCTGCTGCTGACGGTATTGGTGGTGATAAATTCAAGAAGGTTGCCTTGCGGAATATTGATTACATGCTAGGGGAAAATCGGCAGCATTTCAGTTATGTCATAGGTTTTGGGAGTAACTTTCCAAAGAAACCTCATCACAGAGCAGCGTAAGTGATAGCTAACATTAATAAGGTATTTCTTTTAATGTTTAATATGCAAAGAGGGCGGTAAATTTTCCTACACATTATTCGTAAACAGTATCAAATTTACGACATGATAGTCGACTTATCTGTACGGGCTATAGCGGAATCAATCATATGTAGTACAACCTATAATGCTGTAACCATACGAATTTAAAGGTCGATTTTTAAATAAAAAGGTTCAAACGATATTGCTACTCATCGGTCTAAAAATGCTATGTATAGTGAGTCATGATAAGGAAAAAAGTATTCAGCTGTGCAGATCTTTTAAAAGCTATTTATGAGTGATTTCAGTGATCCCCACAACATTAAAACTTAAAAAAGTTCATTATCTGATACATTATATGAGCAATTCGGTGTGGACATAATAATCTGATATTACAATTTCAGCATGTGTTCTTTTTTTACAGAGGATGTGCCCCTGGGTATTGTGCAAATGCAGGACAGGATAGTCCAAATCAACTAAATGGTGCTCTAGTGGGTGGTCCTGGACGTAACGATGATTATGAAGACAAGAGAGATGATTACATCAAAAATGAGGTGTCCGTCATTAGTAACGGTGTATTTCAGACAGCCGTCGCAGGTAAGTTACTAAGGTTAAGCTACTTCTTGAATTAGAAACGTTATATTATATTAATTTTACTTTTTATTAAAAAAACCCATTAGTAATGTAATTAATTGTTCATATTTTCAAACGTCATCTTTTTATGCTAACAGTTGATAAAAGGAAGAAATGATACCAATGGGGGACAAAACACTACAGAGAGCTCCATGAGCTTGAGCAGTCTGTTCTCTAATAGTTGCATTCGACCTGTTACCAATTACAAGTTCAAATGCGTTGATAAGTATTATTCGTTGATATCAAAAATGGCAAAAAGACATCAAAGATACCAGGCTTATACCAGGAACATATTCTTGGTCATCTCTGACACAACATTCCATAATGTTCAACAAAATAATGAAAATTACGAAACTATAGCTGTACCACCAGAAAGCTTGGTTAATAAACTTAAACATCTGTCAAGTAATTATTGATATGGACACAAGCCCTGGAATATTATATCGATTAAGAAAAATAAAAAAATTACAGTAGATTGCATTCAAAAAGGTTTTTTTTCTTCCTTCTTCCGCAAACAAATGATTTGTTTAACGTTAGCTATAGCTTTCGTTATGAAACACAGATATGCTTTCAGTCTGTCTTTAGGTTTCGAATGAGACATACGTGTATGAAGGTAGAAAAGTTAAGCATTTATATACTTTTCCATGGGGAGAGGTTCTTAGATCTTACGCCTTTTATCCAACACTTTTTGGGATCTGTTAAACTTTACTGTCAAAGGTTAATATATTGATTGCATGGTAATTGAGCATTTCTCTTTGTATTTATATAATTTTTACAGTGCAATAAAACTATTATTTATTTTTTAGGTCTTTACCATTTTGCTATCAATAACCAGCTTCCACCGCCTCCTGCTCCAAAGTGCTAATTAGAAGCCCTTGTTGATTTTAACAATCTTAATAAAAATGATATAACTATTATTTTTTAAATCTCAAACGTTGACTTGAAATTCCTATCTGTATCATACAAGATAGATTAGCCAGTGCATTATGACACAACACAATTACACAATCCTCCTATGCACGTCTACCAAAAAATAAACGAAGTTCGTTAGCAATATACTTACTAGGAAAATAACAGTATCAGTTGTCAGGTTAAACATAAATTCGTTGCGCTCGTCCATAATATAATAATTACAAAATAGTAGCATTCGATGGTTTTGATTATCTGTCATTAGGATATCTAAAAATCGGATAGATTCACATTGACATTCTATAATGGTTTACTTTTACAAATTGTGACTTGTTGTCTCATTGGAACTTATACCATATCTTCTTATATCTATTCAATTTGTAGCTAGCATTTGCTATGTTTATTCAACACAATTGTTGCAATTTTAATTTCTTTCACATACCCTTGCACTGACCAAAACCCGAAACTATAATCCCTAAATCCAAAAAATAAGTTAGCTATCCAATAATTTGGCATTTAGATATTTTAAATATAATTGACATTTTAGAACGAAGCTCATTTCACCTGTAGAAGTAAATAATTATCGTTGTACCCCTAGTTGAACATTTTAACAATAAAGATAATAGAATATTGAAAACAAAGTGCGAAAAACGAACTTTTCGTCGTTTTTAACATGGAAAGACTGATATTATTTTGTTAAGATTTGCTGTAATGAAATTTTGAAATGGCTGTATATTAAGAAATATACCACTTTTATTAATAGATCTGATTCCTTGACGGTGATTTGCTATACTTTTGGACTATCAGCTAGCTTTTCAAAGTTTGTATTAAGTAGTAGTCAAATATTTTGACACCGAACATCACTGAAGAGAAATTAAAATAGAGGCGAAATATACCAAAGGGACATTTAAACTCATAATTGTCGACAATTGGTATCATTTTTTACATCCCATATGGTAACGTCTGCAATAATTGTTTTTCTTTTCTTGTTGTAGTATAAATCATGTCGTTGGATTTCTATATGATTTGTTTCATATCTTGTCATCCCGTGGCTTTTATAGCTTACTCTACGGCATTACACATTGTCGAAGGCCGTACAGTGACCTGTAACTGATAACTAGAGTTTATAGATAGTTGTCTGTTTGATTGACAATCACACACCATCTCCTTATCTTAATAATTAAATATATAGCATGGCTTTAACCTTTAAAGAATTAAATCGATTCTAATTGGAAAATTCGAATTTGTTTTTGTTCATATAACTCATCAAAAGACTTATAATTTTGTACGTCATACGCGCGTTTTGTCTACATAAGACTCTTCAGTGGCGCACGAACTAAGAGAGCTGGAAAGCCAAAACAAATAAAAAGTTATAGAGTGTAAGAAACCAAAAATTTCTAAACGTTGTACCAAATACGCTTAAGGCAATCTATACCTTGGGAATGACAAACCTAAAGTTTCGAATAGTTCAACGTTCTGTATACAGTAAATCCCCCGGGATGATAGTTATAAGAAACAATGACACAACTTCATGTTTGTAAACGTATTAAATAAACATTATCTTCTAACAATCTGGAAGGTTAATAAGAACTGGTACAACTTTGCTTTCATTGAAAGCTGTATACTATTACATGTAGATACAACCCCTTTAAAATAAAATTTTTTAAATGTTTCTACGATTTTTTTTGCTGAAAATTGATAAGATATGTGCCTCAATGAAGGCGTATCCCTTTCTAGCAATTTTTTTTAGAACCCAAAAATATATGTTTGATAAGTACTTTTATGAAGTAAAAGGGTAGTTTTGACGTAGGTGACTGACCTTTGATTTATAAACTTTTTTTTTAAGTCGTTTGTCAAATGGTACAACAGTGAAGACATTAGCCTCTACGAATTATAATTTATAAGTTGTAGTAACGGAGGACATTGACGAAACTTTCAATGGAATAACATAAACGCAGTTGCAGCTAGATGTCTTATACCACACCCCCCCCCCCCCCCGCATGTACTATTTCTGTATCACAGTTGTTTATTCTATAACAAGATCTACAGTTAACATGTCATCTTGACCTGTATCCAATGACCTATATCAAGTTATTACACGCCGAGCATTCAAATAATGAAAACCTAACTGCGCACGATTTCTAATTTCCATGTTTTGGCAACTCATGAAACTTTAGTATACAATTATCAAGTTGTCTAATCATTGACAGTTGTTGGAATAAGATTGAAAAGTTGAAACCAATACATGTTTAGTCTTGTGAACAATTACGTTTAAATTTTTTATTATGTTGTTTAGTATCAAGGTATTATCAAACATAGTTGTTTCCTCTTGTTATGCAACTGCACCACTGGCAGCGCCCACTGTTGCCCCAGCTGAAGAGGACTTTGCCACTGCAGCTGCAATGACAACAGTCACAAATACAGCAACAGTACCACTAAAGCAGTAGCTACTGTTGTATAAAAGTAAGGAGATCTTGTATGATTGCCAATGAGACAACAATCCACCAGAGTTCAAATGACGAAGACAAACTTATACCACCATTATCAGCTGAAAAATATAGAAAACATTTATTGCAATAATAGTATTTTCAAATATATTATGACATCATAACTAGCTGTCACCCTTAACACTAATTATTATTCATAAAACTATTGAGGATATTTATAAAAAATGTAAAAGAATACATTATCTGATGAAGAATTGACGATATGAAAAAAAAAGATTCCGTACCTGATTTCCTACAAAGCCTAGGGCTAGTTATTATACCGACAGACATGCCCTCACTATTCCCGAAATTATACCTTGGAAAGTCTTAGTCCGTAAAAAGAATTGAGAACTTTACTAATAACGAAACGAATAAACACAATGCCTTTCTCTTCTATGGTTCTTTTCATATATCATCTTTAGAACTGTATACATACAATGAATTTTGAATATGTCATGATATTTTCCATAATGAGGGTTGGGTTTGTACTCGCTTATCTTTGTCTGACAGTTTGTCTCTGTATAACCGTCAGGAAAGGACTTCTTGAAGTGATTTTCATGTGTTTGTTCTGGTCTTAAAATGTTTCTCTTATAGACACCAGAACAGCCTAATGTCAACAGGATGGTAGGGATAAACCTTATGTCTTAGTCTGATGGTTGGTTTATCCATGTTTACCCATCAAGATATCTGTACTTGTTTCACTTGGTCTGACAGCTTATCATAATAAAATGAAACAACTAACGAGAAATACATGTTATATGGGTCTTAGTTTGATAGCATGTCCTTGTTTATCCAACAGGACAATTAATTAGTTACACGCTATGTCTTGAAAGTTAAACATTCGTTCGTTATAAAACATTGTCTAATATTCCCGGCTCAATTGGCATCAAACTTTACAAAAAATGACAGATAGTGTGTCCCTGAGTATTCATCATCACATTTAAAACTATATGGGTATACGTTATGTGTACTAGCCCCATTGTTCTGACATGGCGATCATGAGCCAGAGTATATATTTAAAACGTGAAATAATAACCACATAAACTTATCAACATGCCATTACTGCGCGGTAAATCTATCAAAAAAGTAAAATAACAAAAATACCGAACTCCAAGGAAAATTCAAAACGCAAAATCCCTTAACAAATGGCAAAATCAAAAGCTCAAACACATCACACGAATGGAAAACAAATATCATATTCCTGACATGGAACAGGCATTTCCTTACGTAGACATATCCAACCAAGTAAGACATCACGTGAATTTATGACGTAGCAATCCGCCATCTTTAGTAAATTTGTCTCATACAAATTGCATAGGCCTTTCAATAAATTTTATTTTTCCCGTAACCCGAGCCGTTTTTTTTAACTTTTGCAGCGTTTTTCTTTGTCGTCGAACATAAATCTTTCTCACTATTTTGACCCTGACAGTTTAAATTTAGATGAAATTATGTCCCTGATCAATTGTTAATATTGATCTTTTTCTCCTCCTCTGCCCTTTGACTGCATCGTAAAACTAACAAACCCTCGTCTTCTTATACATCAATTTCAATAATTCCTTAAACAAATGTATAAATTTGCACCTATATTGTAATATCTGAAACATACGTCTAGCGCTGCATCCTTTTTTTAACAGTTTAATTCGTTGGCAAATTACGTCTCTAATCGAGTTAAAACCACTTTAGATAAATTTGTCTTTCTTATTATTTTGTTTGGCTTTTTTCTAAAGGATGCATATTTTGTCCATGATTATTTAAAAGTAGTTATTTTCGATGCAAAATCATATTTTTTGTTACAGTCATACACATTATAACATCTGCATTAAAATATAGAAAGGCACAGACGTATATCTAAATGTGTATGTATGTCTCTGAGAAAGGTATAACAACAGGTAAGCCTCACAAGTTACAGACAGGTAAGTAAAGTTTACATTACACAATTATTCAGGTATTACACAGGAAACGTATGCCAAACCAAATTACCAATACTTGTTATAATCATTCCGTGAGCAAAGTTATGTCCAGAGTTTTAAAGTGGTATACAACATATTTTGCCCCCGGGAAATTCTTCAAAATATGAAATTCTATCACAACACTGGATAAAATTTTAGAACAATAATACGGAAAAAAAATAAATATTTATATTTTCAGCTTCGTTATGTTTAAACATAGTTATTTTTTTATAAATTATATATCAATTGTAAAATACATCATTTTTTTTAATTTTCTGTTTGTAAAAGTTGTCATTTGATAAAAAAGATTAAGCCTAAACTCTGCAAATGATTTTGGATTTTTCTTTTTCTTTTTGTAATTTTATTTGACAAAGTTTTTACCGAAATTTGACCTAGTGTAGAGATAAAGTGCACATGATTAAATTTAAGAACTTATCGACCATTTACCAGTCAATCTCTACCGACAGAGTTATCGACCCTTATTGTGACTTGTATAGCTGCGTATGAAATGGTCGATTAAACATGGTTTTATAGCTAGCTAAACCTCTCACTTGTATGACAATCGTGTATAATTCCATTATATTGAC